GTGGCGCCCCAGTCTCCCGTGATGCCGGGTCCTTGGTCAGCGCGGCTCAGGCTGGCCGAGGGGCCTCAAGCCCCCTGCCTTCACCACAGGAGACGGTGCCCTTTGGGGACGCCGTGCTGGCCACCCGCGACTCCTGCATCGGGAGCGAGATCTGCGAGGAGCTATGGACGCCCCACAGGTCAGTCCTGCTCGCCGCTGGCGCGCCTGTCCCCGCCTGCAGCCCCCGCCCGGCCTCCCGGGCCCCCTGCCCCCCCGTCGCAGCGGGTCTCTGGGTCTTGCCCGGCCCCGGAGGCTGAGCAGGACCCCGCTGGTGCTCAGAGCCGGCTGGCGGCAGGGGCTAGCGGTCCCTCCCCCTGTGACGCAGCCCGCACGTGGACATGGGCCTGGACGGCGTGGAGATCTTTACCAACGCCTCGGGCAGCCACCACGTTCTGCGCAAAGCCCACGCCAGGGTGGACCTGGTGGCCTCGGCCACCGCCAAGGTGTGCAGGGACACAGCGCCTGCTGGGGTGGCGCCCCCGGGCCCCGGCCGCCGCCTGCCCTCTGGGCCGGGGCCGGTGGGCAGCGTGGCTGTGCTCCCAGAGCGGCGGCATCTACCTGCTGGCCAACCAGAGGGGCTGCGACGGCGGCCGGCTCTACTACGACGGCTGCGCCATGGTGGCCATGAACGGCCGCGTCTTCGCCCGTGGTGCCCAGTTCTCGCTGGACGACGTGGTACGCGGACCTGCGGGCGGCCTGCCCGGCCTGCGGGCACCTCCGAAGCCATTTCCTCGTCCTCCCCCGGGCTTCTCGGTCTCCCCTCCCTCGGGGGTGGGGGCGCCGCCTGAGGTTTGGGGCTGCCCAGCGCACAGCCCACGTCACCCCCACACGTGGTCCAGCAGGACGCCCCCTCCAGGGACCCTCGCGGCCAGGTGCTGGCGAGGAGGGTGCTGAGGGGGACGCCCTGGCCCCCCAGGAGGGGTGTGGGTGTGGCTCCGTCACTGGGACGAGCAGGCCCAGCGGGCAGGTGATGGGGTGTCCATTGGTGGCGCTCAGCGGACGTCCCGGCGGGGGTCACAGGGTCCGGCCTCCACTGTCCTGGGCCCGAGTGGACAGAGGGCTCCGTCCTGAGGCCTGGGACGTGCGTGCGATGTGGCACACCTGTGGTCAGGTGTGCGAGCGGGCACAGGGCTCAGGGCGGCACTTGGCTGCAGGAGGTGCTCACGGCCACGCTGGACCTGGAGGACGTCAGGAGCTACCGGGCAGAGATCTCGTCTCGGAGCCTGGCGGTGAGGCCCCGGCGGCTGCGCCCCGGCCCCCCACTCCTGCCCCACCCACCCCACCCCGGGACTCGCCTCCTCGGGGTCCTCGGTGCTGGGCGCCTGAGCCTCGCGTGGTCGGGGTCGTCCCTCGGCGGGGTCAGCGGGCCGCAGGACGCCCCGGCCCGGCCCTAAGGCGCTGGGTGGAGGTGCGTGAGGACAGTCCACTTCCTGTCCCAGGCGCCCGAGCCGGAGCCCAGCGGGTCTCGGGGCGCTGCCGCTTCTCTGCGGCCTCTGGCGGCTCCGCCTCACCCCACCGAGGACCCGGCCACCTCTCCCTGGGCCACCCCTGGTGTGGGCGCGCCCCACCCTCCCCGCTCC